CGTTGTGCCAACAAAGGAAAGGTCATGTTTTAGGCCGGCTCCGTGGCTCACTAGGCTAATCCTCCGCCTTGCGGTGCCGGTACACCGGGTTCTAGTCCCGGTCGGGGCGCCGGATTCTGTCCCGGTTGCCCCTCTTCCAGGCCAGCTCTCTGCTGTGGCCAGGGAGTGCAGTGGAGGATGGCCCAAGTGCTTGGGCCCTGCACCCCATGGGAGACCAGGAGAAGTACCTGGCTCCTGGCTTCGGATCAGTGTGGTGTGCTGGCTGCGGCGGCCATTGGAGGGTGAACCAAGGGCAAAGGAAGACCTTTCTCTCTGTCTCTCTCTCACTGTCCACTCTGCCTGTCAAAAAAAAAAAAAAAAAAAGTCACGTTTTAGCATCTGCGTGATGCTCAGAAACACAGGCATAACTGAGATGAACTGCGCCCTGGGTTGTTCCTGTGAGTCCTGGGGGAAAGCCGTGGCCAGCGCTCCCTCCTGTGTCCTGCGTCTCAGTGGATCTGGGAGTGGCATCCGTCAGTCACGCGCAGGGAGAGGAGCAAGGGGAGTGTCACTGCAGCGCCTGCCTCCAGGGAGGCCGGCGAGGGTGGGGCCGGGCCTGCCGGGCAGAAGCTGCTGTGCCGCGGATGGGAGGCACACAGACGTGAACCGGCAGAGGTCCCTGTCCCAGAAGCAGTCACAGTCCAGCAAGGGGGAGCTACACTAAGACCTTAAACATCCACACTAAGAACAGGGACCTCAGAGCCAGGACGGACCCCAGGCGTTAGTTGGACAGAGCGTCTAAGCACACTGAGCCTCTGTTTCCCGTAAGTAAGACGGCGACGGGACTAGCACTGGCCTCGTCATAGCATGCCGTGCCGTTTTAGTCTCTATCTGCCACGTCAACGGGAAATCTGTTTTCTAGATGCTCAGAAGAGAGATGCTCATTGGCAGCCGGAGTGTTCAGGAGAACTTCACGGTGGAAGCCTTACTTCTGATTTCTATCTCAGTGCCTTCGGATGGCTTCGTGCCCACCACACCGTGAGTGCTGTCAGCAGGGGGAGCTCCTGGCCCTGGGCTTCTCTGACGTCACTGCCGAGCCTCCCCCGGGACTGCCCTCTGCTTGGAAGCCCATCTTCCTCCCGGGATGCACGATGTC